TTTGTGCAGACCAATGGCAATTGTGTTTTTTTTTTCCCCTTTTAAAATGCAGTTCCCCAAAAAGCCTGTTTCTCCTTTCAAATTCGGGCCATGTCAGTTTTTTTTTTTTTTTTAAAAAGGGCGGAAAATATTCCCTTTGGAAGAAAAATATGTTCCCAACAGAGAGAGGGGGATTTTGGAGTAAAGAGAGAGTGTGTGTGAGAGAGAGAGAGAGAGAGAAGGGGTTAGAGAGAGAGGAGAGAAAGAGAGAGGAGAGAGAAAAGGGGAGAGAAAAGAGATGGAGAGAGGAAAAGGAGAGAGAGAGAGAGAGAGAGAAGAGTGGGGTAGTGAGTGAGTGATGAGGGGGATTGCAGTGAGTGACAGTGAAAAGGGGAAGTGACAGTGAGTACAGTGAGTGAGTGACAGTGATGACAGTGAAGTGACAGTGATTGACAGTGAGGGGACAGTGGGGTGTGAGTGAGTGTGATTTTTTTGTGTTGTGTGTGTGTTTGAAATTTTGTGTTGTGGGGTGTTGTTTTGTGTGTGTGTGTGTTGTGTGTGTGTGTGGTGTGTTGTGTGTGTGTGTTGTGTGTGGGGTTTTGGGGGTGTGTACACCACCTATTGTACTCACCTTTTTGAGGTTCCCGGGGTTAAAGTCCAAAGGCTCCGGCCCCGCCTCTTCACTGATCGTACTAGGTCCTTCCCTGAGCCTTGAGTTTACCCTACCTCTCCCTTAAAAGGGCTTTTGTATGGATCCTCCTCCACTACATCGTTTCCCCAAACTATTCCATTATTTACTACTTGGGGCTAAAGGGAAATATTTCCCTTTTAAAACCCCCTGTGATTCATTGTGTCTTCAGTTCCCCAACTGTGCCCCCTTGTTACTGGCCCCAATCTCGGGAAAAACCGCCCTTTGTCCCCCTTTGTCAATTCCCTCAGAATTTTTTTGTGTTTTTCATGTCCCCCCTATCCTCGGTCCCCAGTGTGGTCTTTGGGTTTTTCCTTTAAACCCTTTCCCCCCCTCGTGGGACTTTCCCTCTTACCTCGGGGACTAGTCTTGTTGAAAACCTTTGCATTTTCCCTCTATTTTCTTCACGGTTTGGGCTGGGTGGGGGTTCCAAAGGTTGCCGCTTTACCCAATAGGGCTAACGTACAGGGTGTACAGGCCCTGAATGTTCCTTTTTAAAAAGGGAGTGGGGAATCTGTTTTGATTTGCTAGGCGCCCAAAATGCTGCAGCATTTTTTGGTGATGGGGCCCCCCTTTTCAGGAGAGTCCCCTGGTTTTTTAATCCCCCCAAGATTTTTTTCCCTTGAGTGGGGTTTGTAGTCTCTGACCCCCTAACGGTACCCGTCCCGCGCCTTTTCCCCTTTCCCCAATTTCATGTTTTTTGACTTGGTGGGATTGAACCCAGGACCCAAATTGCTGGACCAGGCCCCTGCGCCTGCCAAAATATCCCTTTGTAGTTTCTGCTGGCCCTTCGACTGATTTGTTTTTTCTAAACAATTTACGCTTCTGAAAAACAGGGTACCTCAGAGTCAAATTCCCTTTCCCTTTCTGTCGTTCACAAATCCCCGAAAAAAGCCGGGGCCCCTAGGACTGACCCCTGTGGGACCCCGCGGTCACGGGTCCCACTCAAACCCCTTTGCCACGTCCCTTGATTTCCTTTGTGTTTTCCCCTGAAAAAGTTTTCCCTGATCCATTTTTAGTGCCTTCCCTTTTACCCCCTGTTTGGGCCCTCCATTTTTTTGACCTTTTTTTTGGGGAAAATTTGTGTAAAACGCCTTTTGCAGTCCAAAAATATGAAATTTCCACCCCCCCCTCCTTTTTTGCTTACTGCTGTCACCCTTTGTCATAAAACTCCAGTAGGTTTGTGAAAACAGGTTTTCCCCTCCCTTTAAACCATGTTGGCTGCTGTTGATGAGTTCATTTTTTCTAGGTGTTCCACCCCTCTTTCCCCGAAAACTTCTCCATGATTTTGCCCTTTTTTACAGTCAGTTTACACTTTGGGCTGTAGTTTAAGCTTTAAAGTCTTTTTCTTTTTTTAAAGATTGGGAAATACATTTGGGTGTCTTCCCCGCCTCAGGCCCCTCTCCCTGGGTTTTGATGGAAAGTTTGTATTGTTGTTAGGGGGTTTCATAGCCCTCTGCTCCCTCTCTCAATACCCCTGGGGGGGATGTTATCTGGCCCCCCTTTCCTTCGAAGATCAGCTCACTCAAAGGCCCCTTCACTTCTTCCTGGTTGTTGCACTGTGTTCCCGCACATGGTGGTTTTGCCCTACCCCTCCTCTTTGGAGCCCCTTCTGTCTCCCTGTGGGAAAACCTCTTTTTAAAACTCTTGTTTTTTCCCCCAATACTTCACGGTCATTTCTTTTTGTCTCTCCCCCTTCCCTTTCCTTTGCCTGATTACCTTGGGCCTTGACTGTTGTTTTTTCCCCCTGAAGTGGCTGTACAACATTTCGGGTCAATTTGGCTTTCCCCCTGCTAAGTCATTTTCATATTGTCTTTTGGTCCCCCCTTTAAACGTGCATATTCGTTTCTGGCTCTCGACCCGCTCCCTTTTTCTCCTGGGTCCTTTGCCCTTCTATATTTCTTCCACCCCTGCACACTTGGTTTTTCCTCCCTGCACCTTTGGGTAAAACCCTGGGCTAAACCGGCCTTTTTTATTAAATTTCCGTTACCCCCGGGTACAAACCCCCCCTCAGCCCCTTGCAAATTTTTTTGCCATATTCCATCATCTTTATTAACTTTGGGTTCCCCGCCAGTTTCTGTCCCATGAAACCCCCTTTTAGGAAGTGAGGGAGTGAGTGTGTTGTTTGTGTTGGGGTGGTGTGTGGTGTGTGTGTTGGGGGTGTGTGTGTGTGTGTGGGTGTTGTTGTGTGTTTTGTTGTGGTACTCCCTAGTTGTTAAATCACCTATTGAGGTTTCGGGGGGCGAGTCCCAGCTCCTGGCCCCGCCCCTTCACTGACGCTACTAAAGGGCATCTTCCCCCCGGGGGAAACCGGAGCTTTAAAACCCCCTGCTTTTTAAAACTATGTAGAAACCTGCCCCCCACTACATCGCCTTTTCCCCAAAAATATTCCACTTCTGACTACTCTGTGGTTTAAAAATACTTTCCCAAAAATCCCTTGATTCTCTGTGTTTCAGCTTCCCAAATGTGCCCCTTTTTACGTTTCCAATCTCTGGGAAAACCCCGTCTTTGTCCCCCTTGTCAAATTTCCCCCCCCGTATTTTTTATGTCTTAAACCTTCCCCCCAATTTTTCCTGTTCCCCCAGTTTTCGTCAGGTTGAAATTTCCCCCCTTTAAACCCCTCCTGTTTGGACATCCCCCTTTGCTCCGGGACTAGTCCCGGGTTTCAAACCCCATTTCACTTTCTCTAGGTTTTTTTTACGTGCTTTGGGTAGGTGTGGGTTTTCCCAAATGGGGCCCCATACCCAATATTGGGGCCCAACGTGTGTTGTTGTTGTGTGTTCTTTTGGGGTGTGTGTGTGTGTGTCTGTGTTGTGTTTTGTGGGGTGGTGTGTGTGTTGGGGTGTGTTTTGTTGGGGTGTTGGTGGTGTGTGTGTTTTGTGTGGGGTCTGGTTTGTTTTCTGTGTGTGTTTTGGGGGTTGTGGTGGGTGTGTGGTGTGTGGGCTGTGTCTGTGGGCTGTGTGTGTGTGTGTGTGTGTGTGGTGTGTGGTGTGTGGTGTGTGGGGTTTTGTGGGGGTGTGTGTGTGGTGGCGCGCGCAGCTTTTTTTTTTTCTCCCCAAAAGCAGTACAAACTTCAGGTTCTTCTTCTTTTGCAAATAATAATCCCGTAATGGGTCATTTCTTTATTACACTTTTAAAAACAGGGGGAATTTTTAGGAGAGAGAAAATTTCTTTTTTTTTTTGAAATTTCCAGCACTGAGGCAAAATTTAATTTTTCCCCCCTGTTTTCAGTTTAAAGGGGTTTTAAAACCCCTTTGTAGCGTCAAGGGCCTAGGGAAATATTTCATTCTGCCTGGTAAAACCATCCCAAAATTCAAAGACTAGAAAAAACTTAAAAATCTGCTTCTGGGCCCTTTATCATATCTTGGCCCAAAAAAAAATAAAAAAGCACCACAAAGCATTGTAAAATCCCTTTTAGGACACAGGGGAAATACCCCAATTTTTGAGTACAGGCAGGCCCTGCTGTATAAAGAAACACCCGAAAAAACCCTGAAAAAATGTTTACCCCTATTAAAAATTTAAATGAGCAATAGAGCTAGGCTTAAAAAAAAGCATTTAACCCTACTCCCATTACTTTCCCTAAAACATTTTCGGCCTTAGCTTTTTAACCCGAGGGGTGAATGTATTTATTGAAGGAAATTGAATTTAAAAAAAGGGTAAATTGAAAACCCCCCTGCCTTTGCGAAAAACTGTAAAGTGGGGAAAGCCCGTACAAGAATTTAAACAGTTTATGATGGGTTTTATTAGTCCCCAGGGGTTTTTCCCTTTAAAAAAATCTGATAACCAGGGGGTTTCCCGCAGGGTTTGGTTCCCGGATACGCCCTGAAAAACGCCTTTTTTTTTTACTTTTAAAAGCACCCTAAAAGCTGATAAAAATGTTTAAAAACAGTATTATTATTATTATAGATCTGGAGCGAAAAATTAAAAATGTGGGGTTTATGCAAATAGGATAGGGAAAAATTACAAAAAAAAAAAAAAAAAAAAAGCCCCAAATTTAAAAACTAAAAAAAAAACTACAGCAAATTAAAAAAAATTTTAATTTAGGAAAAAAAAGAAGGAAGCTCAACCAGAAGGGAAAAAAACATCCATTTAAAAAAATTTCATTTGTTTGAAGCAATGAAAAATAACTTTTTATAAACAGTACATTTTTTTTAAAATAAGCCAATTGTAATTAATTTTTAATACAAAAAATTATTAGTGGGTCATTTTTGAAAAACCACCCTTTTTATATTTTTATTTTTAAAAAAGTTGATCCAAAATATACACCTGCATGTTTAAAAAAAAAAGGAAAAAAAAAAAACCCTACTTTATTTCTAAAACAGTTTTTCTTTACCTTATGGTAGCATCTTCGTAGGTAGAGAAGCCTTGATCAGGGTTTTTCTTCTTTTTTCTCCTCTCCCACCGTTCTGCCTCATCTGCTCCAACTTCCAGCATTCTTAGGCGATCATAGTCTTTACCCTAAATAAAAATACTGTAATAACTTTGCCATAGAGTAAGGTGATGAGGGTATCAAATGATTTAGATAAAGAAAAATTGGATATCAAATTGGGGAGTAGTAGTATGGAAGAAGTGAATGTTTTCAGATACTTGGGAGTTGATGTGTCGGTGGATGGATTTATGAAGGATGAGGTTAATAATAGAATTGATGAAGGAAAAAAGGTGAGTGGCGCATTGAGGTATATGTGGAGACAAAAAACGTTATCTATGGAGGCAAAGAAGGGAATGTATGAAAGTATAGTAGTACCAACACCCTTATATGGGTGGGAAGCTTGGGTTGTGAATGCAGCAGCGAGGAGGTGGTTGGAGGCAGTGGAGATGTCCTGTCTAAGGGCAACGTGTGGTGTAAATATTATGCAAAAAATTTGGAGTGTGGAAATTAGGAGAAGGTGTGGAGTAAATAAAAGTATTAGTCAGAGAGCTGAAGAGGGGTTGTTGAGGTGGTTTGGTCATTTAGAGAGAATGGATCAAAGTAGATGACATGGAGAGCGCTTAAATCTGTAGGGGAAGGAAGGCGGGGTAGGGGTCGTCCTCGAAAAGGTTCAATTCAATTCAATTCAAAGTTTATTCTCTATAAGGATTAGAAATGCTGAGTTTACATGTAGTAAAATAATGGTTTACATGTAGTAAAATAATAATTACAGAGTGTACCACTAGAACACCTAGCATGGCTAGGCATTTTGGGCAGATTTAGATTAAATCTTAAGTTTAAAATATTACAAAATTATGAGGTAAGTTGGTATTATGGCTAAGTGACTAAATACTAGTTTGTGAGTTTAGCAATGTGAATGCCTTTGTTTTGGCACTATACATACTTTCAGTATTGGAGTATCACAGGCCAACTTATGACTAGTTAAGATTCATTATTTTGGGATTGAGATTGATATTTCTGTTTATGGTCAAATGGGTGAGTGAGTGTAAGTGTTAACCACCAGGTGGTATTCGTGTAATTAGTTGACAGGGTGTATAAGGGAGATAAGATGTTTTCTGATGGTAGTTTTGAAGGTGATGAATGTGTCTGCAGTTTTAGAATTTTCAGGTAGGGTGTTCCAGATTTTAGGGCCTTTGACATACATTGAATTTTTGTAAAGGTTTAGTCGGACACGGGGAATGTCATAGAGATGTTTGTGTCTGGTGTTGTGCCTGTGGGTTCTGTCACAACTATCAAGAAAGCATTTTAGGTCAAGATTAATATTGGAATTTAAGGCCCTGTAGATGTATTGTATACCATTCTTGCACAGATGTAGATTGCACAGTAGTAAGTGTGGATGTACTGAACAGGGATTAAGTTCAGATCTATGAAGAGTGGGGGGTGTGTTGCCAGGGATGGGATTTAGTGATTATTCTTACTGCGGCTTTTTGTTGGGTTATTATTGGCTTTAGGTGTGTTGCTGCAGTTGAACCCCAAGCACAGATAGCATAGATGAGGTATGGATATATAAGTGAATGGTATAGTGTGAGAAGGGCAGTTTGCGGCACGTAGTATCATATCTTGGAGAGGATCCCAACCGTTTTGGATACTTTTTTGGTTATGTGTTGGATATGGGTGCTGAAGTTCAGGTTGTTGTCGAGGTATAGGCCTAGGAATTTGCCCTCATTATGCCTGGCAATTAGAGTGTTGTCGATCTTAATGTTAATTTGCGCATCTCCTGCTCTGATACCAAACATAATGTAGTAGGTTTTGTCAGTGTTAAGCGTAAGTTTATTGGCTGTCATCCAAGTCGATATTTTGATCAGCTCCTCATTAACAATGGTGTTGAGGGTGGCAAGATTAGGGTGAGAGATGACATAAGTCGTGTCGTCAGCAAAGAGAATGGGGTTCAGGTGTTGAGATACGTTTGGAAGATCATTGATGTATATGAGGAAGAGCAGGGGACCAAGGACACTTCCCTGCGAAACTCCGTATCAAGTGGCTGTGTTGTTGATGCTGTGTCTTTAATGGTGACATACTGATACCTATTTGTAAGGTAAGATTTGAAATATGCAAGCGCATGGCCTCTTATACCATAATGGTCAAGTTTGTGGAGTAGGATGCCGTGGTCAACTCTGTCAAAAGCTTTTCTTAGGTCAATAAAAATTCCTAGTGGATATTCCTTATTTTCCAATGCTGTGTAAAGCAGATCTAGCATTTTTATGATTGCATCGTTAGTGCTTTTATTTTTCCTGAATCCAAATTGGCAGGGGTTGAGTATGTTTTGTGCCGTTATAAATGAATATAGTCTCCTGTGCACGAGTTTCTCAAAGATTTTGGATAGCAATGGTAAGTTTGATATTGGCCTATAGTTGTTTAAATCTGTAGGGTCACCACCTTTATGTATTGGAATGAAGGGGTAAGGGAGGTTTTGTGGGAGAGGGGCTTGGACTTCCAGCAGGCATGCGTGAGCGTGTTCAACAGGAGTGGAGACAAATGGTATTTGGGACCTGACGATCTGTTGGAGTGTGAGCAGGGTAATATTTAGTGAAAGGATTCAGGGAAACCGGTTATTTTTATATAGCCGGACTTGAGTCCTGGAAATGGGAAGTACAGTGCCTGCACTCTAAAGGAGGGGGTTCGGGATATTGGCAGTTTGGAGGGATATGTTGTGTATCTTTATACGTATATGCTTCTAAACTGTTGTGCTCTGAGCACCTCTGCAAAAACAGTGATTATGTGTGAGTGAGGTGAAAGTGTTGAATGATGATGAAAGTATTTTCTTTTTGGGGTTTTCTTTCTTTTTGGGTCACCCTGCCTCGGTGGGAGACGGCTGACTTGTTAAAAAAAGAAAAAAAAAAAAAAAATCCAATTAGTGGTCCACTGAGTTACAATATTAATCCATTCCAGAAGACTTATTTATAGCCTCAAAACTATCATAACTCAAACCCCAAAATACATGGTTTTATGGTAATTCATGCCAAAACCTAGGAACTGCAACTTTTATACCTTGAACTTGCGCACTTACAAATAAAACTTGCAGGCACTTTACCGTGTTCTTGAATAAATTTAACTTATTAATAATTTATATAATATTCCATCTATCTTCACTATATATTTTACTTTACTAATGCTTTTCAAAAATATTATTAAAACAAACACAATACAAAAAACTCAACTGAGATTCTAGCATGTATTACCATAGGGTTATTAAAAGTAAACTAGAACAAAGTTAGCTGACGAAGTTGGGTGTAGAAACAGTAAGAAGGAAATATGTATTAATGCTTTTACTGTTTGAGGCTTTGCCTCCAAGGAAGCTGACCTGGGCCCTCCCTGCTCTCTAAGTCTCACAGCTGATGTCTAAGATAAAACACATCACAGCTTCACAACATAATTCATACATGAAAAAATCTTGGGCCACCCTGCTTCAGTGGGATATGGCCTGCTTGTTGAAAGAAGAAATACTACACAAAAATGTATAATCTGATGTAAATCAGTAACTATTATACAACAAATAATTTGCAAAACCACTTGTATGAAAGAAATTAATTTCTCAATAATGTACTGTAATATATAGCACAAGTATTACTATTACCAAAATGACTTGCATCAATAAAAGACAAAGCTGAGATATCTACAGTAAATAGTACCAAAGACAATGATGTCAGAATACAGTATTAGATGTTGTAAAGCTCTAAAGCTATGGGTTATTAAGTGCAAGGAGTGATGGAGGTTTGATCCTCTCCCATGTTAAATGGGGTTCAGTCTCTGACTAGTCAAGCTACTGATGATGATTATTATTACTGCACCTGTCTGCACTTGGTATTATTGAACATTATGTAACTAGGGCCTGACCTCTGCTAGAGCAGCCTCTCTTCGTTGATCCTCTTTAAATTCAGCTTCTAGTCTTTCACGCTTCTTAGAATAGTTTTTGGGCATTTGCTTAATGCGGTCTTCTTCCACAACTTCTTTATGATTCAAGGCTGCAGCTTCATTCTGGAAATAAAGTGTGTGCTGTAAAACACATTATTTTGGCAGTACCTCATCAGAAATAACAAATGTAGATACTCTTTGAGTGATAAATATAAATGCTCATTAACACAACTGTTCTAAACCTAACAAAGACTTATGCTTCATTAATTTGGTTAATTCCTTAACCCTTTGACTGTTTCAGGCCCCTCTCTGAAACTGTCATTCTATGTCGCTCAATTTTTGAAAAAAAAAAAATTTTTTTTTTTAAAAAATGTGGGTTTTTTACGTTATGCCCCAAAATTTTAAATTTTTTAAAAATTTTTGGAATTATGAGAATTCGTTTGGCAAAAATTGGGTTTGGCGATTTTCTAAATTGGCCCTTTTTTTAAAACCCCTCCTTTTCCAATTGAAAAACCGCATTTTTTTAAAATTTTCCTTTTTAACCATCATGATCAAGAAAACCTCCCATTTCTTTAAATTTAAAAATAGGTGGTCAGAATTCATTTCCAATTTCCCCAAAAAAAAAGGCCAATTCAAATAACCCAGAAAAAAAAGGGGCATTGCAAAAAACTATTTTTCCCAATTTTTAAATCTGGCCCTTTTAAATAATTTTGTTCATTTTATTTTACCAAAAAAAAAAAATTTTTTTTTGATTATTTTTTAAAAAAGGATAAAAATATTGCATAGGGGAAATTATTAATCCCCATTAGAGGGACTGTTTTGGTTTTAACCCCCAATTTGGGAAAAAATGAACTTTGTTTTTAGGGCCTTTTTTGGGGGTTTTTTTTCTTTTAAAGGTTTTTTAAAATCTTCTTTTTCGAAAAAATTTTTCATTTTTATCATAAAACCAAACAATGAAAAACATAAAAAATTCCCAAAAATCGGGGGGTTTTTTCCAAAAAAAGATCATTTTTTTTTTTCTCTTAGCAATGTGTGTGCAGGATTTTTTTTATGGGGTGCACACGGACCCACAGCCCCATTCTCCACATGGGGCTCCCCTTTTTTTCCCGCTTGATTTAAAGCCGCTAGTTTTATTGAGTATATAACGTCAAAAACATTGGCTGAAAAGATATTTACACGTCAAAAACAGTAAAAGGGGTTTTAAGGGAAGCAAATCCCCCCGGGTTACTGTCCAAGCCAAAAATGAAACACCTCTGTAATTTATATGAAAAGGGCAAATGTTAAAACTGAAAGTAAGGTGTTTCATTACAGAAAAAGGGCCCGAAAGGCTTGATATACAGTAGGGAAGGATGGGAATAGGCTTCAAGGAAAATAGAAGTCTGTAAAAAATAGAAGAAAACCAAAAAAATTAAAAAAAAAAAAAAACAAATAAAAAAAAGGGGAAGGGGGAAAAAATTTTAAAGAAAGATAAAGAAAATTTGGGGAAAAAAAATTTTGGCAAAAAACCCCCCCCCCCCAAGTTGGGAAAAGACGTTTGAAAAAAATTTTATCTTTTGAAAAATAATTTCATTTTTTTCTGAAAAAAAATTAAATTAAAAATTTTTAAAAAAAATTTTAAAAATGTAAAGTTGCAGTTCTAAAAAATTTCCCCATTTTAAAGGGTTTTTTTTTTTAAAATTTAAAAATATACTTCAAAATCCACATTTTTTTTCCTTTGGCAACTAAACTTTTTAAGAAACTACAAATAAAATTTAAAAATTGGACTGATTATATGTAAAAAATAAGTTCCCAAAAAAAAGGGTTTTTGGAAATGTATCCGGATTATTTTTTTTCGGGATTCGGTGTTTCGATGGGGTTTTTTAAATTAGCCAAAAAGGGGTTTTCTTTGCCCCAATTTTTTTAAATAAAACCGGGGGGGGGGTTTTTAAAAAATTTTTATTCCCCCCCTTTTTTTGCCCCAAAAGTGGGGGGGCCATTTACCTTTTATACCCCCAAAATTCCCCCCCCCACCCTTTTCCAATACATTTTGGCCCCCCGCATAACGTGGATAATGGATTTTTCCGCAACCGTTACTTTTATCAAAAAAATTTTTGCGCGATCCCGAAAAAAACCCGTTTACCGTTTTCGTCCGAGACGCGTCCCCAAAGGCCCTACCACCTCACATGTGCCACCGTCCCCTTGTTTACCGCCACCTCCCGGTAACACCAAGCTACACTCGGAAAATTTCGATTATTACAGTAAATTTTTGGGTGTTTTGGAAAAAAGTGACCAGGGCCCAAGAAACTTTTATGCCAACCCTAACCTCAAAGGGTAAAAATTACTATAGAAATGAAAAAGAGTAATTGAAAAAGTAGAAAGTGGAGTGGTATAGCCCCCTAGCAAGCGTAAAAAAAACCCCCAAACAACCCTCGTACTATTTTGGCACCAGAAAACAAACAAGGGAACTGTTCTTGCCAAAGGTTTTAAAGTGTTTTCGAAACAAAGATCGCAAATGTGGAAGATGTTTTAGAGGGTCTTATTGGGTGGTAAAAAAAAAACAGATAGCAGGGGTGCTCTCTCAAGCGATCTATGTGAAAAAGGGTAGGAAATTTCATGAGGGTTTAATTAAAAAAAAAGCCCGCAATGTGTGATGTGAGTGAAATTTAAGCCAGCAAAGTTGGGTTTTAAATTTAAGAAGCGTAGTGGATCCATTGTGATAAGGCATGGTGAGGCGCCCGTTCGGGCCCAAAGCGGCTGAAAAAAAGTGCAGGAAACAAGGGTACATAGAAACTGAAGGCTGAAACCTGAACAAGTGTTTAATTGTGATGAAACAGGCCTGTTCTGGGGGAAAAAAAATGCCAAGCGGGCCCCATTACGGAGGAAAAGGCCTCCCCGGACATAAACCTAGAAAGAAGGCTTACTTTTTTGATGGTGCCAATGTATGGTGTTGCAAAGTGAAGTTTTTTAGTGTACATCTGAAATCCCAGAGCGTTTTAGGGAAAAGAATGTCCTCAAGGATAATTTGGGGTGCTGTGGAGGGCAAACAGTAAGGCATGGTCACAGGGAATTTTTCTATAACGGTACACCAGCATTGCCCCCCCAAGTGAAAGATTACCTAACTGAAAAAAAATTAGAACTTAAGTGCCCCCTGGTGTTTGACAATGCCCCCGGTCATCCTACAGACGTGGCAGAGCGACTTTATGGGGCATGAGCTTATTAAGGGAAGTTTTTGCCTCCAATACCACTCCTCTCCTGCAGCCCCTGGACCAAGGTTTTTTCCCAAATTCAAAAAACTGTACACAAACTCTGTTGAAAAGGGGGTTTGTAATGACCTCAGAAACTCAACTGACTCTAAGAGAGTTTTGGAGAATCACTTTAAAATCCTCAAAATTTTGGGAAACCTTTAAAAGGGAAGGCTTGGGGGAAGTGATAAGGGACCCTTTAACTCTGCTTTGAAGAAACTGTGGCCAGAATGTGTAGACAAAAGGGATTTTTAAGGTTTGAGGCTAAAAATGAGATCCTGTGCCCGTTGAGAATCCATTTTGGATTTGGGGGTCCCTTTGGGGGTTGGAGGTTAGTGGGAGGATGTGGGGAAAATTGGGGGGAGGGACAATGAAAAATAACCCCCGATGAGCGATAGATCACTTTTTAAGGCAAAAGGGCAGCCTGGGGGAAATGGGTTTAAGGAGGGGAGAGAAAATTGAAGAAGTTGCCCACTAAAAGATAAAGGAAATCGTGAAAATGGTTTAAATGAAACTTCTGGGTGAAAATCACCCTCACACAGATTGAAGCCGTGCTGGTGATTATTACCTGCAATGTTGTGAAACCTTTAGGGAAGTATAAAGGAACGAGAGGACAGGCCATAGGACAGATATTTGTGCGAAAAAGTCCAGTGATTGAAGCGGCCCTGTGGGATTAAAAAAGAAAGGGAAGTAACCCCGAAAAGGATACTACCTCAAGTCCAATGGAAGGGGATTCCCCTTCTAAACAGTAAAAAAAGATAATGCTCTCCCCTCCCCATCCCATCAATCACACCAGATCTTCAATAAAAGTAAGTGCATTTAATTGTGCATGCCTTTTTTCGTTTGTGTGTATTAAAATTAACATTTCATTGGTAAAAAAAAAAATTTTTTTTATACTTTTGGGGGTCTTTCACGGGTTATTTTTTTTCCATTTTTTATGGGGGAAAATTTATTCGCATAACGATTATTTTGCATAACGATGGCCCTTTCACGGATTAAAAAATTTTTAAACCGGGGGTCCACTGTATTTCATCCCTTTTCCCTCCTTTTTCCTTACCCTCTTACCCAAAAACTTGGCATAGAAGAAAAATGTTTCTCCTATTTTTTATACTACAAGAAATGCCCCTTTTTCCTATTCAAAATACCCAATAAATATCAGAAATCAGTAATTTGGCCAAAACCCTACCCTGGCCGGATTGAACCGCGGTCAGAGAGTCTCAAAACTCCGCTGTCGCGTTAGCACTAGACCAGCTAGCCCAAATAAAGATTCGTCCAACTAGGTTATATTTCTAAAACCATAGGAAGGTTAGCACAGGCACACTGTGACCACAATGCAAGTTTTACAGACAAATCTCCAGCTAGCGTGGCCGTGACGAACTCTAGAGTTCGTCCTATGGTGTAGAAATATACCTAGTTGGACGAATCTTATTGTGGCTAGCTGGTCTAGTGGCTAACGCGACGGGCTGGAGTTTTGAGACTCTCTGACCGCGGGTTCAATCCCGGCCGGGGTATGGTTTGTTTGCAATCGTGTCATTACGATTTCGTGAGTCACGTTAATTTGGCCAATTTCACACAAATTTCAAGAGATACCAATTCCAAAATAGGGTCCAGAATAAACAATGCAGACATTCCTAGCACTAAAATAACATTTTTTTCTGTTCATTAATCATGTCTCCGGGCTCCTCTTATATTACGCTTGCTTTCCATTTTAAATTTTTATTCACACAAAAAATAGAAGATTTACTTTTATGCAACTACAGTACTGCATTATTGTAATAACTGTATAAATAATGTTAACCCATTTGTGACTGCATATTACAGCAGCCAGTTGGACACATCCTGGACTGTGACATCATTTGTTTACTCTTGAACATCAGAAAAAATCGAACATTTCCACTACTTTGAGCTCAATTTTAAGGT